TATCACTCACGTTCAAATATTAATTCTAAGACTTATTTCAAAACCAAATCTCATTGTGTTGGGATTCATTACCACTTGGCTTACAGAATACCATGGCTGCCCTCACTTAAAATGATAAAAACTGACAGTACAGAATATACCTCTTTTTATGGAGAAGAAAATATGTTCTAGGACAAAATGTAAATTTCATATATTGAGAAAGCATTTTAACAGAGGAGGGATAAAAATATTACCTTAGATTTGTGAATAACTGTAATTCAAATTTGGGCCTTCCGATTTCATGGCTGGTGTGCTTTCAATACAACACAGGTGTCCTTAGCTTCCTTGATAATGATTTATCCAAAATCTTCCTATGAAAAAAAGTGATTTTAGAAAGTAACTGCAACAGTTCAGTCTTTCGTTTTTAATGATAAACAGGTGCTCTCATTTATTTCTACCACCTCTCCCAAATGATTCCTTATAGAATAAAATCTGAGGGGGTGCCTGGGGGGTTCAGTCGGTTAAGTATCTGACTCCTGCTTTTGGCTCAGGTCATGATCTCAGGGTTGTGAGATCAAGCCCTGTATTGGGCTCCGTACTGGGCATGGAGCCTGCTTAAGATTCTCTCTCTTGGGTGCCTGGGTGGCTCAGTTGGTTAAGCGCCTGCCTTCGGCTCAGGTCATGATCCTGGAGTCCCGGGATCGAGTCCCACATCGGGCTCCCTGCTCGGCAGGGAGTCTGCTTCTCCCTCTGACCCTCCCCCCTCTCATGCTCTCTATCTCTCATTCTCTCTCTCTCGAATAAATAAATAAAATCTTTAAAAAAAAAAAAATTCTCTCTCTTCCTATGCCCCTTTCCCCACCTCTCTCTCTCTGCCCTGCTGTCTAAAAAAAAATAAAAATAAAATCAGAGGGGAAAAAACATGTATTTTCTTATATTCTTTTTTTTTAAAAGATTTTATTTTGACACAGAGAGAGCAAGTGAGAGAGGGAACACAAGCATGGGGAGTGGGAGAGGGAGAAGCGGGCTTCCCGCCGAGCAGGGAGCCTGATGCAGGGCCCAATCCTAGGACCCTGGAATCATGACCTGAGCCCAAGGCAGACGCTTAACGACTAAGCCACCCAGGCACCCCTAAAACTATGCATTTTCTAAGCAAACATTTTCCCTTAAGATTCCCCCCTAGCATCTGAGGAATTAGAAGATCGCAGCCATACGCCTTTTTTCCCCACTGCTCAGCAGTGACCAAGCAGCAAGATAACCAAAGCAAGAATAGGGTCTAGAGACTGCAAATAATATTACAGATGATTTTAATTGAACACTAGACCAGAAATTAAGTATAAATGGTTTCTAAATCAAATATGGTTTAAAATTAATTAAAGACTTATAGCAAGAAGCTTACTTGTTAATTCATTAAAGTCAAGATCACACTTATTCAGATAATTTCAACCATCCAGCAGCTTCAATTGCAATTTTATTTCCTTTAATTAATCTCTCTCAAGATACATATAGACACAGCACAATCTTTATTTTATTGGGTTATAATATTACTTTGAAATTTTATAGGCCAGCATGGTGATTTTTGTACAATTGCCAGATTCTGAGTTTTGATAAAGGGTGTCAAACATGTAAATTCACCACCAATGAGTAAACAGTTGTTGCTATATTTAAAATTAAGCTTCCCTCAGTTTTTGGACAGTTTTGGACAGCCAGTGATTGCTTATATAAATAAGTAATGTGCTGTATATACAGAAAATAAAATTTTAAATGCTTATCTTTGTGTCAAGCTGTCTCTTTAGGCAAAAATAGACAATTCTCAATCAACGCATACCAACTCTGCATTAGACATTTTAAAGTTGACTAACTCAAAGAAGGAATTCTAAAACAATCACCCAAAGTATAAAAAAATGTCACCCTGGTAGACCAGAGTTTCATTAAACTAACTGCATAAGAAGCTCTGTGTCTGAAAATGGAATAGAGAAATCTGACACACAAAACTCACGTTATCAGGAAAAATTAAAACAAAAATAACTTAAAAAGTTGCAATCAACTATTTCATATGCATCTGTGGTTTTTGATTAGTTGAGTGTTGCCTTTCAATGATTGACTTCCCTCTCATTCAATGCCCCTGCTTAGGTTCAAAGTTGACAAAACTGATAAAAGAGTACTTGGTTGGACAGCAGAAAATCTCCCACCAATGGCTAGGAGAGGAGTCTAGGGAGAAGAAGCCACAGCTGTGTTTTCTTGCAGTCATGATATAATAGACTTGTCTAGATCAGTGATTTCTGAGCTTGTCTGCACACTGGAGTCACCTGGGGAGTCAAAACACTATTGATGCCTGTATTCCATTGTTAAAAAGTGATTTCACTGATCTAGGTGTGGCCTGGGCTTTGGAATTTTAAAATAGATCTTTACGTGATTCTAACATGTAGACAAACTTGGAAAGAAAAATGGTCCATGTTCTTTTATATTCCTATCTTACAAATTTTTGACTAATTAGGTTCATGTCTTTTTTAGCACCCTTCCTTTATCAGTCTTATGCCATTTGGGGAAACCTACCAAAGCACAACTTGTTCTGGAATACTGTCAAAAGGAGAATAAAAGGAATAATAAGAGGATGAATAAGCTAAGTTTCATAAAATGTTTCTTCATGACAATAATTACTAGTGTATGCATTTTTTTTTTTCCAAATCCAAGCCCTAGAAACTTTGTTTGCCATCCTAAAACCAGACTGAAGAACTACAGAATACTGCCTACAATAATCTGGAGTTTAAGTAATGATATGGATTTGTATGACCTATCCCAGCTTTCCACTTTATCAGATGGAGCACGGGCAGCTGCTGCAACAAGGAAGAGGAATAAGGAATTGGGTCTTACACATGAATAAACCTGTGGAGATACTAAGTTCACTAATGTTCTTGTTGGCAGGAATCAGAATGGCTTAGAGGCAGCCAAGTTGAATTACAGGGTTGATTTACTTGAGAGATACATGTTATGCGGACATCAGCTTTTTTTTTTTTTTTTTTTGCACCAGCCTCAGGGCATCCTTGAGATGAGACAAAGTGCAGCCCTTCCTTTCACAGTAAGATTCAGTTGTATTTCCCCGTGGCTTCTCTGCCTCCTGAGGGGGTATATGAGCTGTCTAGACGAGAGAAGAAAGAAAATAGTTTTAAAAGTTCAAAAGTGTCAGTTTATCACTAGCAAATAATGGGCATAACTAGATATCTTTACTCCTTTAAAAAAAAAAAAAGTACCCACAACACATGAGTAGATTGAAACTGGAAAGCAAGTATCACAATGTCAGGGATTCAAAATAACAACATGTAACTTCATTCTGATACATGGGGTTAACATGCTTTAGGTAGACTGTTGTACTGAGCGGAATGTACTGCTCCTTTGAAATTAAAACAAATGGGGGCACCTGGGTGGCTCAGATGGTTAAGCGGCTGCCTTCGGCTCAGGTCATGATCCCAGGGTCCTGGGATCGAGTCCCGCATCAGGCTCCCTGCTCCTTAGGAGCCTGCTTCTCCCTCTGCCTCTCTCTTTCTGTCTCTCATGAATAAATAAAATCTTTAAAAAAAAGAAATTAAAACAAATGACCAAGGGGCACCTGGGGTGGCTCAGTCGTTAAGTGTCTGCCTTCGGCTCAGGTCATGATCCCAGGGTCCTGGAGGGTCCTGGGATTGAGCCCCGCATTGGGCTCCCTGCTCTGCGGGAAGCCTGCTTCTCCCTCTCCCACTCCCCCTGCTTGTGTTCCCTCTCTCACTGTCTCTCCCTCTGTCAAATAAATAAATAAAATCTTAAAACAAACAAACAAAACAAATGACCAATACGGTCAACTAATATTTGACAAGGAGCCAAGAATACTCAATAGAGAAGAGACAATCTTTTCAATAAATGGTGCTGGGATAATTGGATGTTCACGTGTAAGAGAATGAAACTGGACCCATATCCTATACCACTCACAAAAATTAACTTAAAATGAATTAAAGACTTAACTGTGATAACCAGAGCAGGGGCAGCTAGGAAACTAGTTGAAACTCTGACATTGGTTTTGGTAATGAATTTTTGGATATGACACCTAAAGCACAAGCAACACAATAAAAAATAAACAAGTGGGACTACCTCAAATTAAAAAGCTTCTGCACAGGCAAAGAAATTATCAATAAAGTGAAGAGACAACCTACAGAACTGGAAAAAATATTTGCAAACCATCTATTTGATGATGGGTTAATACCCAAAATACACACAAAAATTCATACAACTCAATGGTAAAAAACCCACTAACCCAATTGAAACATAGGCAAAGGACCTGAATAGACATTTATGCATTTGAGACAGAGAGAGAGAGAGCAAGTATGAGCAGGGGGGAGAGGCAGAGAGAGAGGGAGAAGCAGACTCCCCACTGAGCTGGGAGCCTGACGCGGAGCTCGATCCCAGGATCCGGAGATCATAACCTGAGCCTAAGGCAGAAACTTAACCATCTGAACCACCCTAGCACCCCCTTAATAGACATTTCACTAAAGAACATATACCAAAGGCCAACAGGCACATGAAAAGATGCTCAACATAATAGCCATGAAAGAAATGCAAATTAAAACCACAATGAGATATCAACTCACGCCTGTGAGAATGGCCATCACCAGAAAATAGAGATAACAAAAGCTGGCGTTGTTGTGAAAAAAGGGGAACCTGTGTGCACTGCTGGTGGATTGTTAGTTGGTGCAGCCACTATGGAAAACAATATGGAGGAGCCTCAAAAAATTGAAAATAGAACTACAATATCCATCAGTTTCACTTCTGAGAATACATCCAAAAAGAAACAAAAACACTAACTCAAAAAGATGTTCATAGCAGCATTATTTACAATAGTCAAGACATAGAAACAACCTAAATGCCCACCAATGGATAGATGGATAAAGAAGTTGTGGTATATACATACAATGGAATATTATTAAACCATAAAAAATGAGGAAATCCTAACCATTTCTGCAACAACACCGATGGCCCTTGAATGCACTACACTAAGTGAAATAAGTCAGAGAAAGACAAATACTGTATGATCTCCACCTGTAGGTGGAATCTAAAAAAGAAAGAAAAAAAATGGAAAAAGAGATCAGACTTGTGCTTACCAGATGCAGTGGGTGGGAAAGGGGTAAGTGGAGGTCAAAAGGTACAAACTTCCAGTTGTAAGATACATAAGTACTAGGGATGGAATGTACAACATGATAACTGCAGGTAACACTGCTATATGAAAAATATAAAAGTTGTTGAGAGTAAATCCTATGGGTTCTCATCATAGGAAAACATTTTTAACTTTTTTCTTTTCTTTTTATTGTATTTACAGAACATGGATGTTAGCTGAACCTATTGTGGTAATCATTTCACAAAATATGTAAATCAAACCATCCTGCTGTAAGCCTTGAACATACACAGTGATGTATGTCAATCATTTCTCAATAAACTGGAAAAAAAAAGATCAGATCATGATGAGGATATGGGGTTGTCACCATCCAAACCCTTTCCACTTCAGGACACAATACAATCTGTTGTCAGTTCAAAATTCTAATAACTGGGCAAAGCAAGATATTCCTAACCTAAGTGGGAAGAGGGGCAAAGGCACCTAAGGAGAGGAGTGTGTTGTGAGTGAACTGCAGTCAGTGGACACAAATGGTGAAAAGCAGCTTATACAGTGCAATTTTAAAGGTTTCTTTGGTTTAGTGAAATAGAAAACTTTCTATAAGTCAATATAGCTATTCTTAAGATCATTCCTGTCTTAGTGAGAGCTGACTGCACCAAAACACATGGAGACAAAACAGAAGCTATGTTCTCGATTATTTCCAAATACACAAAATCACCCCCAAGATGTGCTCTTTTGGCAAGTGACATGGCAATTTGGTTTTCATTTCTAGTGCCAACTGCAACCAGTTCTTTCTTCTGAAGCTTTAAACTTAGCTCTAACACTGAACTGTTCATTTCCTTCTGTCTTCTACTTTTGCTTCCCCCATATCTGTTGCCAAATTTACAGTCTACCACCCACACAACTGCCAAGCCAGAACCCAGGAGTCATCATGGGCTCCTCCCTTTGCATTTCAGTGCATGCTTCCCAGTCTTACACATTATGTATCCTAGTTAGCAAATTAATCCTCCCCTCTCCTCTTCATCCCTTCTGCCACCACTGCAGGGCATGTCATCATCCTAACTGGTCTCCATAAGCCTAATTTTGTGTTCTGTCAACACTCCCCCTACCCTTCTGGATCTTTCCGGCCCTATTACTCAAATACGAACATACCACCACCCTGCTGATTCTCGAAAAACTTTGTCCCTTTACTCTGGTACTCCTTTGCCTGCAATGTTTATCCCTCCACGTTCTTATTCTAGCTGACTAGCTTTTACATTTAGTTTCAGAATAACATTTTCTCTGTCAAACCTTTTCTATCAGGCTGTGTTAGGTGTTTCCTCTTCTGTGTTTATATCACCTTGCAAATAACTTTACTGGAGCATTGTTGTCATTGTTTGTTTACATGTTTATCCTCTCTTCTGACCTATGAATGAAAAGTGAGGTCCACTTCCCATTCAATGTTGTAGCTCCTATAGCTGGCACCCAGAGGGGGCTTACTAAATCAATTTATGCTGAATCAATGATTCTTCATCTACTCCCTGGAATTACCTAGGGAACTTTTTAAAATTACTGAGTCCTGGACCCATCGCAGACCAATTCAAATTGAATTTTGGGGGGTGAAGCCCAGGCACCTGTTTTAAAAAACTCCCCAGGTGATTTTAATGTTAGTCGAAAACCACTGTGCTAAATCATTTATCTGGAAATGCTACTTAAAGCTGTATCAAAAAAACACAAAGCTTGAGGGTCTTTTGTGATTTATTTTTTCAAGGACACTGTATTAGTTACCTCTGGCTGAGTAACAAATGATCCCAACATTTAGCAACTAAAACAACCAACACTTATTGCACAGTTTCTCGTGGTCAGGAATCTGGCACAGTGGGGCTCAGGCCTTCATGGTGTCAGCTGGACTACTGTCATCAAGGCTTGACAGAGAGGAAGAGCTTACAGCCAAGCTCATGCACACAGTTATGGTAGGATTTGGTTCTTCACTGACTGCAGGCTAGAAGCCCTCCCCAATTCCCCTTTCTCTCCATAGGGTAGCTCACAACATGGCAAACTGGCTTCCATTAAAGTGAGCAAGTGAGAGTACAAGATAGGGTGAGCCAGGTGGAAGCCAGAATCTTTCTGTAATCTAACCTTGGAAGTGACATCCTATCACCTTTACCCTGTTCTATTAATCAAAAGTATGTTATTAGATCTAGCTAAACTAAATGAGAGGGAATAAAACAAGGGTATGGATACCAGCAAGTGGGTATCATTGGAAGCCATCTTGAAAGCTGCCTACTACAGATGTTTAATGATACCTGACTTAAAAAGTAACCTACTTTAAAGGAATCTCAACCAGAGTGTCTTAACATTAGGAGTATACATATCATTGATTTCTTTGTAAAACCGACTGAACTTGCTTTGACAGAGATGAACCAAAAGTAAGCTGACAGGCGTACTTTTTAATAAATTTATATTTTTTCTTTCATTATCTAAGTATAGATATATTAATTTAAGGCCATTTAAATAAGGCCAAGGTAAGTCAGCTTGCATAACTCCAACTTTCACGTGGCCTTATGAATTAGGTCAATATGCTTTTCAAAGATTAAAAGTGCCCCTTTTTCCCCCCAAACATTTCCCCAGTTATTCAAGTTCACAAAAAAACAGGCCACTTTAAGGATTTAACATATAATTTCTTTTTAGTGAAAGGCAGTTAACAGTAAATTTAAAGGTAAAATACCAAGCAAAACAGGCAAATTAACATATGGACGATGTTAAGCTAAAAAGACTAATCAAATTTAAGTTTACCTCCCATTTTAGAGGAAAAAGCCAATGTACTGCACAACACTAATTACTGATCTTAATAACCAAAATTTAAGCATTCCACAAAGATTTTTTTTTTTAAAGATTTTATTTATTTGAGGAGAGAGAGAAACAGCATGAGAGGGGAGAAGGTCAGAGGGAGAAGCAGGCTCCCCGCTGAGCTGGGAGCCCGATGTGGGACTCGATCCCAGGACTCTGGGATTATGACCTGAGCCGAAGGCAGTTGCTTAACCAACTGAGCCACCCAGGCACCCCGTTCCACAAAGATATTATCAATACAAAAGGATCCATTCATCTTTGGACTGCTTACTATTCAGTGCTAAGGTGGAAAGTTGAAGATGCTTAATGATATTTACCAAAACTACACAAAGTAGTAAAAGCAAAAAGAAATTGATATTAAAACACAAATGGCTTGCATACTTGAAGTCTGATGTTAACAGCACATTTACACAAAATCCTAAACTGTAAGTTTCCAACTACAAAACATCATCTCCCCCAAATCAGTTAGTTTTTGGTGTAGAAAGTGCTAGACTCCAGACTAAGAGTACTGTATTTAATAACACCTTTTCCTTCAATCATTTCCTAAAAATATTTGTTAAAAATATCAGTAGGTCATAAAACTGGATGTGATTTTTTTAAAGAATTGTTAACACAAGGTTTTAAAAGATGTCACTGGGAAATTGTGCTTTATGCGTGGCAGAAAAAGCTTAAGAACAATCTACTGAAGTTTGCTTCTAAAAAAGATTTAATTGCACCGTCAAGGGGGAAATCTATCCTTTCCTTCAGCTGAGGTGCCAATTCTTAGTGCCATGATTATACTTGCTAAGACCTGGTGGAAAGGGCCATGATCAGCTACTATTGTCCAACATAAACATTTCTGTGAGTTATAGCCCACATGAAGTTTGAAGCTACTACCCTGGACTGTTGAAGCTCTATGGCCCTTTAACAACCCCCTAGGCCATCCAGGTCTCCTGGCCTATACACACTTATTTGGGGCTTTAGTCTGAATTTATTAACCTTATTTAAGAGATGACTTTTCAGTAGCTCGAGAGTCTGGAAACAGATGGGTCACTTAAATTTTATCTTATACTTTTCCCCCAAAATACTATGAATTAGCAATGCTAAAAATACCTTCCATGTTTTTCACCTTGAGTAAATGAGTAAATATATTAAAGAGAGTGGCAACAACTGAGGGTAACAGAACAGAGGGGGGTGGGGGATGGGGTAACCAGGAGACGGGTATTAAGGAAGGCACATGTTGTGATGAGCACTGGGTGTTATATGCAACTAATAAATCGCTGAACACTATATCAAAAACTTATGATGTACTATATGCTGGCTAACTGAACATAATAAAAAAAAGAAAAAAAAGAAAGATAGTGGCAGCCAGGAGTCTTTCTGTTGAGGGAATTACAGATAAGGAAAAGGGAAAGAATAGAAAGTAGTGATAGACTGTAACTGAAGGTATCGAAATAAACCCATGGTTTTTAACAGGTGTAAGTATAGCTATTTGTATATGTGTCTATCTGCTGAGAGGGACCACAGCCAATGACACACCAGCAGTGGGAGCAAACCTAGCACTTCGATCTTGGTTCCCGTATTCCATTGTCCATGAAAAGAAAGCAGGGCTCCTTGAAGAAATGACTGATTCCAGGACTAGGGCAGGGAAAAGTACAAGATGAACCTGGAATATCTGATTGTACCAAAAAGAAAGAGCTCAAATTATGGTGAGTACATGACACAACTGGGCCTTCTGACACACACAGGGAACATTCTGGGGCCCCAATGGTCAAATGTGGTACAACCAACAACATCAAAATAAATAGTAATGGATTTAATCTGTTAACTAAGAATCCATGAATCCATCTGTTAAAAATAAATGAACAGGTTAAATATTTGCTTTTATTACAATGTCAACAACTAATAAATATAGATGGAATGATGGATTTAGAAAATCAGTCACTCACTCCAATAGGGACTTGGAGGAAGGGCAGGTTTAACTGTCCCATGGCCAGGCATTGTCTCTCCGGGGCTCAGTGACTTGCCAAGAGCTGTTTCTCAATAGCCATACAATTACCTGCTGCAGACGGCATGACCTTATTCCAGAATCCCAGGGGCATGTATTATGATTCTCCCACTGAACTTGCTATAAA